CACCAGGCAATCAGGCGATAAATACGCCATCGGCATAAAACTGAACTTAAGGCAAATACCGGAGATCATTATCGCTCCTTCCTACCTTACTCAATAGATTTGAACTCAGTGGCTTTGGCATTATCAACTTAACTGCCCTGGACACGCATAAAATATCCTGCGTGGCTGCCTCTTTCCTTCCTTTCTCGTCGCTTTCTCCCTCTTGCATCCGTCGGCTTGTGAAGAAAAGAAACTACTGCGCCAAACAGGCGATGATCGTTCCTCATATTCGGAGCTCCTGCCGTGAGAGAAAAAAACTGTGTGGAGTTCACATCACGGACCGGCCGTGTCAAATCAACAATGATGTTGTCGCATGTCCGAAGACCGCAGCATGGATGTTCGGGCATAGTCGCCGTCGTAGTCGGCAAGCGGCTCTTAACATACTCCGGTCTGTCACAACATGAGTGGTATACCGGTCGACAGCATTCAAATGCTACGTCGGCGGTGGTTTGTGGTTAAGGGTCAAAATGTGGTTGGATAAAAGCGACCGGGACTACCTCCTTTACTTATGATACCTGCTATAAGTCTGCCCAATGTCTTCCCGCTTTCTGTCGTCCACACACACAGGCCCAACCACCAAGCCGGCCAGACTCAAATGGAAGACGCAGTACCTTCCCGCCCTCCTATCGGGGTCTCGGGCATCTTCGGTATCGATCTCGGTTCCGAAACCTCGATTTGCAATCCGGTTCGCTGGAATTTTGTGAGGTAGTTTTTGAATTCTCACTGCATGACGGCACGGCGCCGCTGCCCGGAAGCGAGCCAAGGCCAAACCTCAAGTTACACGGGATGTTGGGCAGTCACCACAGTCTTCAACCGTTCAACGGCAATCCGCCCGTCTTACTGCAGCGTAAGTGGTAACTGCACTTATCAATTTCAGCCGCCTCCCGCGTGAAGCGGTTCGGTCCCTACTTGTCAGGGTCCAGCCAGCCACCACACTTCTCGCTCTTACTTCACAATAAAGGTACGTAGAGGTACCTCACTTACCAGGTCTCGACGGATCATCAGTTGTAGACATATCAGCCAATTACTTACGGGCACAAAATACTGGCTCATTCGTCGTCAACATCTCAAGGCAAGCAATTGGGACTCACCGCGGACGACGATTCAAAGACAAGACGGTGGTATCCTGATCTTTTGCCATTGAGAAAAGGATTGAGGATTTGTTCAGCGAATGGAGGGCATATCTATCGGAATCGTGATCGTCGATGCCATTGATAACTTGTTTCCCGGACATATGGGAATGTCGCCGGGGCTTCAATCCTGCAACGAAGAATGGAGGGAACGGCCAACTGCCCCCCGGCCTTATCAGACTGGTATATTTTGGAGTTGCGGCCTTTTGATATCAATATTACTGTTAGATTGGTAGTGCGGAGGTTGTATTAAAAGTGAAAGTCCGTTGTCTCAACCATCCAGTTGCGTTCGGGACAGAAGAAGCAACCATTCGATGGCCATTTTCAGAATCTTCTTACAGCCCTGGAACTTGGACAGGAATAAACCTTTGAACTGACAGCGACCACGCCGCTCTTTCGTCAAAACTGTTAGGTCATTGTCCCCTTAGCTTTTATCGACCTGTCAGTGCCTTATAAGTCAGCTCAGCATGGATATATCACGCGACATGGATATCCATAGCACATCAAACGTTCAACGGTGATGCGGCTTAAAACCTAAGCCAACGCCACACTGAAAGGGTACCATCATCTCCAGCGGCTGGTTTAATCTATTTCCAGCCAAGACTAGACTGTTACCCGCCCGCCCTGAGTCCTACCGTCGCGGATATCGGACACTCTGATGTCCGACCACATACACACTGCAACGACATCGGGAGGGGCACGACATCACGTCCCTTCCCTGTTTCGGACATGTGTCTGGGCTGCAATAGCCTATCTGGGATGCTCGCAATATCAATGCGTTGCTCACTCCCTTTCGAGGGATGTGATCTCGGACATCGAAGAGAAGCGTGGTCTCCGTCTGTGACCCTGTGTTGATGTTGAACGCCGAAGGCCGGTTGATGTCTGCGTGTCTTGGGGTGTCTTGTGGCCGATGTGTCTCAGGCCACGTGTCCATATATCCGCCGGTCGCTGAGCGCCAATCTGGATGAAGACTTCTACGCAGTCGAGCATTTCTATCGAGGGAGGTTTTGTTCTCATTTCTGTCTCTGGAGGGCGCTGCCCGGGACAGACGTAGTGAGAAGCCCAGCGCCTTGCCGATCCTTTATCCGCAAATTGCAAACGATATGGTCCAACAATGTCCCTTCAGTGTCGGTGTCACGCCCGCAGCAAGCATAGGTTGGGTTATACATATGTGGTCTCTCGTGAAGGCCTCCCTTGCGTTTCCGGACATCTCCAAAGCCCTGAGACGCCCGACTACCTGTGTCTTATAGCACCTCATGCAGGTTTGCGATGGGTTGAGGTCTCCCTTGGACGAGAGATACCCGAGTACCCGAGAAGTGTCATTATGCGTTCATGACCAACTTGAGTCGAGATGATATCTGATGGATGAGTTGAGAAAAGGTACTGAGCATTTTATGGTGAGCTTTGGTATGAGGACTTCAGAGAAAAATGACCGTGATTTCAACGGCCGAGACACGCGCTAGTGTGGTGAATCCGAACCGGACCCGAACTTGAATCAGGGAGCAATGGAGTAGAACGGGTTGAAAAGTATGTTTCCCCTATGTGCAAGTCTCGCAGTAAAGGACTGAAGAAGGGGTGGTCCGGAGACAGAAGAAGTGCTGTCCGGACATCAGAACAGGGAGTTACGCGAACGTAGTAGACGTCGGGTATTAACAAATGATGAGGCATCCGATGGCGGACTGCCAAACGTTGAGCCTGGCGAAAGGTGCATTATGCGGCGAATCATTTGTGACCGTGACGTTAAGGGAGTTCCCGTCGCACTTGCATGGGGGTCCGAAGGCGTCCCTCCATCCAGTCCGGGAGTTACCCAACACCCAACTTGAGTTTATATCCCCTCAACCCCCCAAAGCCAAGACAATGTTTGTAGATAAATCAGCGTTTGAAAAGCAGCAAGCAACAATATTCTAACGTTAAAGAGGGTTTCCTCTCTTTGCTCCTTAAACAGATCATCGACCACGACGGACATATCTGTTAAATCGACAGACTTTGATGGTGCCAGTCAACATGGCTCCGACGATGGTGCACACCCGGGGACGATACCCACCACTAAGCGAACATCGCCCTTCGAGTAATACGGCACAGTGATCTGGACCAATCCCGGTTAGTTATGTGAGAGAGAACAGGAGCAGTCACGTTGGAAATACTCGATACTCACGACAGGTTCGTACTTGTCAGCCTTATTCTCACATACCCCTATCTCACCCGAGGCTCAACACCTCGACGGTCGGTTGTCACCAGTGTATGCTGCAAACGAGGCTCGACCACAAAGCCAATTACGCTGTCGCCGGTCGAAACATGACTGGTGAAGGGAGATGACAGGCAATCCTACGGCAGCAATCAGGATTGACAACACAGGACCCGAATGGATGTGATAGCGGCGTCTCGTGAGTATAGATGCACAGACTATGAACAACCGGTGGTGAATGAGTGGGGGATTTTGGGGTGATTTGAAGCCAAAGGACGTCAAAATAGTCTTTGGGGGCCGGCCTCACGTTGCGCAGTATCGCGGAATAACTCGAAGGGTCGGGATCGGAACAGGAGGACGACATGGCCAATGGAACCAACCTAATCATCGCCGCACTGACGACCTGGACCTGCGAAGATCGCCAACAGTGTATCTCTGGACGACCACGCGGTCGTCTTCCGACGCCATCGAACACTAGGGCGGCAAGGAAGGGGAGGAATAGGGAGGCAAAGAGGACGTCTTAGCTGAAGGAGACCGGTCAGCGGCCAATATCGAAGGACACTATCGCATGGGGTGTGAAGGGAGGGCCAGTGCGAGACACCGATAACCGCCACAGCCGCTGCCGTTCGAGACTACTGTTCATGATGTGCAGCAGTTAGTCGTTGGCCTGGAACGGGCCGAGTGAGAAAAGCAAAACTCAAGGGAACTAACGGCTGGAGAGTTCTGATTGGAGGCAAGGGCAAACGGAAGAGTTGGGGGCCGAAGGATGGAGAAGAAGCACGGGGAGAAGCAGAAAAAAGCAACGAAAGTCGAAACCTTTGAAACGCTTTTGCCAGCTCCCGTCACAAATCATGGGAAACTCAGCCTCCAGGAAACTTTGTTCCGGATGAGACCAGGGCGACCGAAGCGTGTCTGGACTGCGGGGTGGCAGTGGTTCACGGCCAAGCTGTGATATGGTGAACGGGCGACTGCAGTCTGGAACATGGAAGACCGTGGGAGATGAAGTGGACCGATGGTGTTGCGATGACGGGATGGAACTGAAAAGAAAAAAGAAAAGCGCGATTGTAGATGAACGGGAGGCCACCTGACTTCCATCGTGGACTGGCTGATGCGGATAGCGCCTCATCCGCATCGCTCTTTCCCACTTCATCACATCTTGTGAGCGCATGCGGTTGGTGCTTTCCAGAATGGGACCATGCCACTTGCTTTCCGCTCTTGGTGTTCTTTCCAGGTTGGACTTGGAAGATGGGGAAGGAAGAACCACTGCACGGCGCAAATGGTCACTCGGGTGGAATCTCCCTAGCAGAAATCTTTGTGAAATCCAATACTGTCCAAATCGGCTAAGCATTAGTCTATTATGTTATTGCAATCAAGTGTACAATATTGATTGTTCGTACCTTTAATCATTGACTTTCTGTCTCCCAAGACACGCATTATTGGACGTCATCTCACTCAAGACATTGAGGCTTCTTTGCCCTACGTCGCCATTTCTCGTAAAGGACCGCACACGAGCTTCGCGATGCTAGCAGTCTTCCAGAACGGTCAAGGAGTGTGTTCAGTGTTGCTCCAAGGCGGCGGCACCGCGGGCGCCCAGGTTGCACGCAGCGTCTGATGGGCGAAATCCTACATCATCACCATGACAACAAATTGGGTTAATCCAAGACATGTGGGCGGGAAGGCGTCTTAGACAAGATCATCTGGCGCCCAATATTCATCCACAACATGCCACTAGCCGCAACCTACCTGCCTGAGTGGTATGGGAACGAGTGTCGAAGCAGCGGTAAACCTCTGGTGCGATTTTGGTATCACACAGCCGTCCCATTCCTGTCTATCTGCTTCACGTCAGAACTGAACACAGCACTGACGGTGAGAAATAGAAAACAATCCAGTAGATCCAGACATCTCCGGCCTCTTCATTATCTCGAAACGGGGATCTGTTCAATTTTAGTACGTATATGCAGCCCAGCTGTGCTCTGCCTCTTCTTATGTCCTTCTGACTGCCTCATCTTACTTTTGTGCACACAATGCTGCCCATGTTCTCGCAGCCAGCTAGGGATTATACATACACCTAGGACAGCCAGCCGTCTAGGATCCGGGATGGCGCAGACTGGCCGCCGTCCTCGTATAACCAATACTGTCCGAGTATTGGCTCATCGGCATTATTGGAGGATGGGAACAGTCCATAGCCCAGGTGAGTGATTCCCTCTTCAATCGACGTGATATGCAGCAACCGAGTCACAACATCACAGCTCTCACGCTCGTTGAACCATTGACGTGGTCATCATAATCGGGATATCCAGACCAGCGGGCTCGGTTGCACAAAAGGTGGGGGCCTGGGCAGCAGTGTTGTTGCCATTCATCACCAGTCGGTGACAAGGCGGGCGCGCGGTGATCTCCATAAACGGAAATCTTCGAGGCTAATTCCGTCTTGCAATTGGCTCGGGCCCGGTGGCTGTAGTATACATTGATCAGCAAGTTATCAAGAGAACAAAGCGGCCCAGTGACGGAGCCACGATGCTCACTATCATCGGCTCAACTAACATCAGCGACGAAAATAACAAAAACCCAATGCAACAGGGTAATCATCGTACAGTGCCTGCACATGAAAGATCGGTCTCTAAGCTCCGAGGAGAGGCATTTCATTGGGACGGTTTCCTTACACCTTGATAGCCGGCACACACGGCCGGATTGCCTTGCTTCCCCGCGAGGGGAACATCAATCTAAATCTCGTACGTCTTGACGACGGTCAGCTTACACAGTACTCACGTCTCGTTTCCTGTTCGGCACGGCCCTATTCCCTTTGGTGGTGAGGGGAAGCGAGGGAGGGAGGGAAGAGCTGGAGAGGATGAAAAGAGATGGCCGCGCGGGTATTCCAATTCTCCGCTTACAGAAGCAAATCGCACAACCCAATGTTCTCGAATTAGTTCGCGACCAGCTTTCGTAGTACCTTGTTGCCATGTCTCTGGAGGTGAAAGATAGGTCTCAAAGAAGTGGAGTCTCAAAGTCCCCGAAAATGCAGGGTAGCAGGCGGGAATCACACACAGTGTCTATCCCTTGATCACTCAACTTGCCTTTCCTCCTATTAGGGGGACTGGACTGGATTCCTTTAGATACACTCTTCCTTCCGTGAGTTTGTAACTTAGCCGAACCCGGGAGAAAGAAAGAAACCCAGCCGTGGGTTTCTGATGACGGGATGCCGTGGTGCCCGTGCCCGTGCCCGTGCCCGTAAGCGGTCCCCGGAACCTGGACCCTGCCAGGAATGACCAAACCACCATTTCGGATGAGCCAGTGGGAGGTTCGTTTCGTTTCGAACCGTGAGCGAAGCGGGCTGGAGGGCAAAGAAAGTTGGAGGGTTGTCTTGGCGACCCCGAGATCCAGGCCTGTCAGGTCCCTGCACTTTGGTACGTGGGTGTTTTGGACTTTTGTTGGTAACGATACCGAGAACAATGTAGATTGTATCAGGAGAGACGAACGGACGGGATGGAAGAACCCAAAAGGAAGGTTTGGTTCGTCCGTTCCGGCGTTTGATAGTGCGCATCCCGTGTTCCTGATTGGGCAAGGAATTAGTTGAACCGTTTAGACGCATATCGCAGTATCAAAAAGGACGAAAGATTGTAACTTTACGGCTGAACCCTCGCTTTGTAACATACCGAATGAGTAATGATGACATCTTGCTCGACAGACATTAAATCCGACCAAGAGGTGTCCTCTTGCAAGCCTTGAGGTTTACAGGAGCCGCTGGACTACCAAAATTTGTATGGTATGCAAATGAATGAGGGTATCAGGAAGTGCAGGAGTCGACCTTCTTTCAGGCCAGTTGGCCTGCCTACCTAAATTTTGTTGCATTATCCGGGCATCTTTACTGTAGCTCCAGAATCCGTCAACAACGTGCCAGGAAAAGTGCCTACTCTGCAGGAAGAGTTGACCTGGATGGGCGAGGCAAATCAAGGTACGTTATGTCCGAGAATCTGGCAGGAAGAACAAGCTGATGGACATTTACAGCTTGACTACAGCTAACATTTCACATTTCGATGAGCTCACCATGTACGATTAGCAAGTACCTGCCCGCATAGAGGAAGGAGGAAACCATCACCTAAACACGGGAAGACGGCAAGGCGGGAAGGTCGCGGGGCGTCGGGCGTGGACGGGCGGTGTGGTTCTATTCATTCACTAACAGCCCTGGGGGTACCACCCTGGCCCCCTGTAGCTCTTCCCTGGCGGGGGTGGGGAGGTCGATCGTTTCTGGGTGGGAACCCTTCCGATCGACAAGCCACACAACCCAACCACGACCCACGGTGAACCACCTCCAAAACTTAATACCGAACCATGCATGTGTTTAGCTCCTTCCAATCGCTCTGGATTGATACAAGCCGACAACCTAATTGCCCAACTTGGAGACAGACTTCTCACACTGGCAACTGTGACAGTCCATGACAGGTCCGCCCACGGCTGCCAGTGACGGCTGCTGTGGAGGGCGAGAGGGAGGTGAGTGTAGGTACCCAGGCGACAGGTACCAGATACTGAGGACACCTAGACCTGTGGCCGCTGTGGGAGGCTGAGCCAGATTCATCTTTTGACGACATGTACATCTCGCTGAGATGCATCTGTTTACCAAGTAGAGGTACGTACCAATCCCCTCGCCTGCAGCTGTGGTCACCCTCGCGCGTCCCTAGCCAAAAACGAACCTCAAGCACAATCTTGCTGATGGGGAGCTTGATGTTGCCCCCGAGCAAAGGTATCTTCATCCCTCAACGTCACCACTAAACCCTCAAAGAACGTTTCGTCTGACAGCACACAGCACATCTACAACTGCATCTACGAGCGCCTTGGGGCTGTCCAGATAAGGTAGCCAGGCCCTATTCCTTCAACTGCGAACTGGATCTGAGGGCTCCGTGTTCTACCAGATATCAGCATTGGCGTGTCTGATTCGGAAAAATACATCCTGTTCCTCGATATCAGCAGACAAGGCAGGCATCTGCAGAGCATCAGCTTACTTGATGGGAGGGGGGGCAAATAGCAAGTAGGTCCAGGTATCTGCTCCTGAGCGCTCCTCATGTGGCAGGCTTGGTACTACGTGCATATGTAGGCATATATTATCTCCTTCCCCCACCCTTTATCTTTTATAACTCGAGCTTGTGCTTCGGAGGGGCAACTTATTCTGTCCTTGTCGGCTCCGACCACAGCTAGGGCATCTAACCTAACCTACATGACAACTGTTGCTTCGGGCATGCCTTGCCATAAATTCAGCGCAGCACTACCTGCCGTCATACAATTTTCTTATTCCCTATTTAAACGGACCTCCCTCCCCGACTGCTTAGCTTTTCTTGCTTCTTACCTATTCGGTCACACTCGCTTTACCCGCTCGATTCTGCAGTCCACTCCGTCTTCTATCGGGCTGAGGCCATAGACTAAGCTATCGGACACTGTCCCGTCAACAAACTCAACACAATGCCTCCGCAAGCACTGAAGGCACCAGCCTTTTGGTGCAGCCTGTGTGGTAAGAAATTTACTCGCAAAGAACATTTGGAACGCCACATTCCTCACCGTAAGTGTCCTCAGTCACTTTGGTTGTCTGCAACAGCATCGACCTTACTGACCCTTCGTTCAGACACCGGCTTTAAGCCGTACAGCTGCGACCAGTGTTTTATGTCGTTTGGCCGTCAGTGAGTATTACCCTCTTCTTTCTCGGCCCGTAGCTTTGCTGATACGCCTTTCAACAGGGATTTACTCCGACGACACCAGGCCATCTACCACTCACTCCCAGACGGCTTGGACCCCATTCCTTTCCGAGCCGGTTCGCACAAGCCGGACGTCGCCTGCGAACCCTGCCACAAAGCCAAAAGTGGGTGCGATAAGGTAAAACCGTCGTGTGGGTCGTGCCAAAAGAAGAATATCCTATGTGTTCCACGTGAGTCCAAGAGGCTCGTAAAGCAGGAGACCCGGGCCAGGCGCTCAGCAGAGCCGCAACCGCCTGCTCCGCCCGCTCAACTCCCTCTACCCCCTCTACCCGCACCAGATGACCACAACCAACCGGAACCTGTCATGGGAGCGTCTCTCGAAGCAATGATTGGTGAGGCCGATGCATACCAGCCCCAGCTGGGTCTGCAGCAAGGAACGGGATCACAGAGCTCGTTGATCTCAGAACTGCCTTTGACTGGAATTCCGGCTCCTGGAGGCCCCTTTTCCATGAACGACTTTAATTTTGCCAATCTTCACTACGACGGTCTCGAAGGCTATGGTGATCCGACTCAGTCGTTTAATCCAAAGCAGGCGAATCTCGGGTCTCAGAATGACCCTTTCTTGAACATGTCTGACTTGAGTCGGAGCTCATCCATCGACCTCGGCTTGGAGGACTTTGACGGGCTCGCGGACATGGACGGGTTTGCGGACTATAGCGGGTTCGCGACAGTTGACAACACCCACCACTCACTTGCAGACCACCATGAGGAGGGTTTCAAACATTTCGGGCAAAACAAAGGCAGCGCCTCCGCCCAGCACAGGGACCATATGCCACAGCAGATGGTGCCGAAGAAACTAAATGCCATCCCCCGACCCCTAGTGGAATTCCAGCAGTCCAGGCAGAACAAAGAAAACGCCATCCGCTCGTCTGGTCAACATCAAGACGCTTTCCATCACTTCGGGCATATTAACGACAACTCCACCTTCGCACCTGCCGTACATCAACAGGCTTTTTCTCATTTCGAGCCAAATAACGACAGAGTGATCTCCTTACCTCCCACACCTCATCAAGATTTTGCTTTGGTGTCTCCTTACGGTCTGCTCTCGCCGGCCAAGACTACCCCCTCTCCTCCACCTTCAGGCTCTTACGCTCAACTCGAGGGAGACAAACCGGCTGCCACAAGATCGGAAATCCTAGCTGCCCTCGACGAGCAATGGAACGCCCACTTCGGCAACGGCCCCCCTCTCGAAAAGTTCCTCAGTTATGTTCTCAAACAAACAGAATCTATTAAATAAGAGCGGCATTTTCCAGCGCAGGCCGGGCTTATGAATTCATACCGCGCACATACGCATATATACAAGGCTGGCTGGCTGGCTGGCTGGCTGGCGGGAAAAGACAGCGAAAAGAGCGTTTTGTCATTCATAGACAGCGAACCTTTTGATGGTTTCAGGGAAAAAACCATCTGTTTTGCATACCCATTTCACTTTATCATGTTGGGGAGTCAGGTCACCACCACCACCGGGGTGTATGGTTTTTTTTTTCATGATTGCATTGGTTGATGCCCTGGTATGACCAGGACGGGTATCAGATAAATTGCATTTCTATCTGTTTCGAGTTTCCAGTTGCTTTGTACTCCTGCCCTGTTTGTCTCTGTATCTCTTGGGGGTGTCGTGCAAGCTCGATCTGGGAAGGAGCTGTGCAGCGTGCCTTCCAGTTTCACCTACCCACCTGTCTTTGTGCTCCTGTCGATTTGCCAGACAGATACACGAACGCATACACACACACGCACAACCCAAAATAGCAAGACAAGACATCGATGTGTTGCAAACGAAAACGTGGGGGATAGATTAGATGATGTTGGCATAAGCTATTGCTATGGGTTGGATATTTTCCGAGGTTGTGCAAAACACATACAAGGGCACAAAACACAAAGCACAAAGCATGGATTAGGTTGGACTGGGTTGGGGTCGGTGAGAGCCTGACCCCTGAGAGGCTATGGTCATGGTAACATGGTAACATGGTGACATGGTTACAATGATGATGAGGCAGGACAAAGACAACCTAGCTTAAGCCAGGACAAGTCAAGGCACGGCAGGAGCATGATAGAGGCTATCCCGTGGCAGAGCATCTAGCGAAAATCAAGAGAACCATTTGCTCAAACACCAGTGATATCTTTTCTTTCTTGACACGCGCGTGTCCGCGTCCATGGTGCTAAATTATCAGAAACATGAAGATAGATCAACAGAAAGAAGCGGAAGCAACTTGGTCAAGTTTCGCGATGACATGACTAAGTAAGGTATTACTAGGAATGTTCGCTCTCGCCCCATGCACCGATTAAGAATGGTAGAGAAAATGGCAAGGTCAGGTACAGCTCCAGCAACCCCAAGGACCGACCCATTCCCCTTTCGAAATGTTGCTGCTGCTGTACTCATCATCATCATCATCATGTAATGTCCAGTCCTTTCAGTTTGCAAGCTCGCACCACTCGCATTATCTCCGACAACATGAACCTTGCAGGCTTGTAGCGGAGGTAGTCCAGTCCCGTCCCGTCTAACCGTGAGTGTGAGATTTCAGTAGCCAAGTCAGTACGTACATCCTTGCAAAGTGTAAACTCGACTCAAATCAAATACTGAGACTCAGCAAGTGAGTGACCTTGGTACATGAATAACTTCGGTCACACACATGCCTTTTGCTTTTCTTTTTCTTCTTCTTTTCTTCCTTGTGTTGTGTGTATGGTGTAACCCAACCTGTATCAAGCCATTGTCATCATCGAACGTTTTTTTTTTTTTTTTCATCCTTTCCTTTCTTCCATAACGCTTTCCCATGGATCTCCAATTTTGGTACGCCGTTTTTTTGGTACATGGCTTACTACTTTTCCGAAGTTCCAGAATCCCACGTAAGTTTGCAGTGTGTAAGTTTGGTAATGTGTAATCCCGAGGTTACAGTACCTTGAGGTTGAGAAAGGAGTCACTAAGGACATGTAAGCGCAGGCTTGAGCCGCACCAGTTTTTTGAATTTTTTGTCAGTAAAGTGAGTTTGTTGGTTCAGTTACGAAAGCGATTGTCAGCGGCAAGTTGATGCCGAGCACTGTAAGTTACTGGATGAAGATGGGGTATGTATTGGTGAAGGGAAAAGGGAAAATGACTGGTTGTTGACATGGATCTTTGGCACGACCACTGACGTTCCAGGATCGGAGTCTAAAGAGGCTACTTTTAATGGCTACTGAGTTAGGTTTCAGCTATTGACTATCATTGCCCACTAAGGCTTTAAGTTCATAAAACGTGAAGCAAGAAACAGTTTGGAAAGGTGCTGTTGTGCTGGTTTGATGCGAACAATCATGGTTGATGCAATTCCCATGCACTGGCTTCCAGTCGATGAGACGGTGTCAGATTAAGCTTCAAAAAGTCCGAGCTTAGCTTCCCTTCAACCTCGATCGCGAGGAAGCCATGTCGATCGCCCCTCATCCAATGGCACCTCATGGAGACGAAGGTGAAGGACGGGGGTGGGTGTGCATGTTACAAGGTAACTGCCTGCAGGGAGGTGTATACCCCTGTCCATCGAAGCACTTGTAAGTGGAATGTCATTGGGAAAGGGGACAGAGGCTGAGGGAGAGGGTGTGAATCGGATCGTAACGGTTGCCTTTTCGGGATTAAACCGCTGCACGTGTAATCTGGACATGTGTGTGTGCTGCCTCTTTTACCCTCCTACGATGGTACATGGTACATGCAAACGACCCAGCCCAATCAGATGCTTCCAAAAGCGAGGGAGGGTGGCCAGACAATGTGTCCCTGCGTGTTGGAAGAGACGGGAAACATATTGCGGTTCACACTCTCGGTTGCCATCCACTGGGAAGTCTGTGTCGGACAACCCTTGATAAGGCTTGCTCTTGTTCGTGCTACTTGGTCGGTGCTGGTGGGTAGAGGTAAGGTGTATTAATGTGTATGGGAGGGAGGGATGAACGCGGGATGATACCGAAATCGCTAGGGTTTCTTCAGCCCCAATACCTGGTCGTCGCTCGGGGGATCAACCCTTTGTGCGAAGGAGATGATATGTATTAGCCGCGGGAAATAAGTTGGGTATGGTAGCGGATGGATACGAGACCAAGTAGTAAACATGCGCATATTCGAGCTAATATGCTACTAAACGCAAATGCTCGAGGGAACCAAAAATATGAAGCGGGAAATCCACCCACGGTCTTGGTAATTGGGAATGCTATTTACTTCCCGCTCTAGGTGGGATTTTACCCTTCGGAGAGACATGAACCGCTACCGTGGACATGGCTGAGGTTCATGGCCGCACGGGAGTTCGCAGGAGACACTGTAAGCGTACCCTTGATTAAGACACGGTGCTTTGAGTTTCAAAAAAGGCCAATCGGATAACTGATGGAATCAGCTTCAAGATGGCAGACTTACCAGGCACTGTCCTCAAACCCAACTACGGATACCGTCAACTCAGAAGCCCAAGTCCATCATTCTCAGACTCTCGGATAGACGTCCTTCCGCTAGCCTACCGTGCCCGATGGCCAATTTCACCGTCCAGATCTCGCAGTCGAAGTATGGGTATCGCCTCGTTTTCGTCAGCCACTGACAGTTTTTGCTTTGTGTAGATCGGTTAGCTATCTCTTCGCGATGCGGCCCCATGATTGCTCCGTCCCCGGAGGCTGATGCTTTGTGCAAGGTGAAAACTCGCTCGAGAAGGCCGGAGAAGTGCCGAAGCGTACCACAGAGTGGATGATATTGCATGAGTGATGACTGTAAGAGGCTCTTTCTGGCGGGGTTGACGATGGACCAAGCCCCAAAGGAGCGGTGTTGGCTCATGGTGTCTTCAAGATTGTAAGCTTTGATCCGAGATGATAGAGGTACGGCGGGCGCTTTTTTGGATCCCGAGGGAGCACGGCATGTACTAGTCATGGGTAGCATGCTGTCAATGCTGGTCTCCCTGGTGCGCATGCAGACCGGAAGGCCGGGAACTTTGCACAAGGGATGGGTTACCCTCGTCGTCGAGGGAGGCCATGAGGCACTCGCTGAGTCCCAAGCCATGAATTTTGTGCCTGTCGTGACTTTGCTGACGTGGGGTATCGAGAAGATTGATCAAAGAGGCGGGTGGCCGGCTGCGGGTGCGGGTGCGTACGGGGAGCACAACAGACGATAACACACGGCCGTAAATCCGCAAACCTTGTGAAGTGTAGACTAGCGCGCCCAGTGCCAGATGCAATGATGCAGTGATGGCAGACAGCAAAACTCCATGAGGCGGCAACCGTGTGATTTCCTTTCTCATTTTACGCTCGTGTTGATTCTTCTATTATCGTGGTCAGGTGGGCGCGGGCCACAGGCTAAAGTCGCAACGAGGCTGGCGAACCACGGTTCGGGGACCTGGATAGGGTATCGGCGCATATTGCTTGGTGCTTTGTCGATCTGCCGTGACGAGGTCCCGGGGCGAGGGAGACGGATCTCGACGGCGTGGTTGCTGGGTGCTTTCTTCATCATCTCTGCGAACCATTAGCGGCTCGTAGATTGGCGGGAATATCTGGTGCATGGGATACCGTCTTGTTTGATTGTGTTTAGATTGTATTATTGGCATCGGAATGCGCGAGAACTCGCTTGTCATCGATTTGTTGCTGCCATCGGGCGACCGGGCTCAGCCTTCGGAAGCGGTTGAGGGGCTCGAGATTCCGCTGGTTGCTTAACTTGGTTTTACCGATCGTGAACTGATCGGTCAATGGAATGCAGCTAGATGCAGTGCAGAAGACAGTATTGTGGATCGTACGTGCCTGTTTATGATCAAGGATGCACGATTCCGAGATACTGCAGAAGTTGTTTCTGGATCCAAGTCATGGATGAAAAGAGAGGAGCTGATGGAAGAGTTGGACGGGTGTCAAAGTGGAGACTGGGAGCCTAGTAAGGCAATAACACGAGCCCCTACAGCAGCCCAGCTTAGCGCTAGCGCAGCCTTATTGCGCCCTATTTCCAGCTCTAGTTCAGCCCTAGGATCGCCAATGGGCTAGCCAATTCAGGCCAAGGACTGCCCACCTTAACATCAAATAAGCTTTCCTTGGAAAAGGCCACCGTAGTAGCGCTAGCTTCCGGGGACTCGACGTAACATTCCCTCCGTCACACATATCACCACCAATACATTGGGCCGCCAATTCTCTCGAAAACAATTCGACAAAAGGAGTGTAAAGGCTGAAGGCGACCGTGATGATCCCTCGATTACTCATGCTCAGCTCATTCTCTTCGCTATCAATGATTTCCCCGCAAACCCTCATCTTGGCCTTGCAGCGGTCAAGTTACCGTGAAGTCAACCAGTTAGATAGCTCATAGCGACTAAAGACCGGACATCCGTGGGGATCACAGATAGTATCGCTCCCGCGGCTGGAGTCCATCCCTTTGGTTCCCGGAATCGGACGTTACCCATATCGGCATTTTCAACATTTCCATCATCACTTGGATGCCGATTTGCAGCCAGTACCCAGCACATTAGGCGCCTGGCACTTGCTGTTTCATCCTCGCTGTCACTGCAGCGGAAAAACGTCCGCACCTTCCTGTCTCGGATGTCAGGTTGACACTCGTCCAACACTCTCCGTCCTTAAACAATCCAATCTCTTACACACTAGAAGAACAGTCGCCATCCCGAGATCCGCACCAAGACATCAAGCCACAATATCATACAATAAAGAAGAGCTTGAACCGACCAATCCGAGTGTCTGCCGAACGAATACGACGGATGTCTAACTCAGTTCCTGATTACTTTTTTTCAGAGCTACTGCATCACTCACAAGTGCGAGCGGATCCAATGGTTGACTAAGGAACGGCACCTTTCCCATGGCCTCGGGGATGGACCGGCAACCATGTGTCAAAACATCAAGAGACTGGGCCAATGCAACGAGTTGCTGCAGTCTGTATTCCAGGAGGGTTCGGGTAAGTAGTTGTTACGATCGGGAAAGCGTAAAGGTGAAAATAACGAGGCAGAGAAAGGTACAATTGTGACTTTGTCTGCTTTTGACGACGAATGGAAACTGAGAGTTTCAGTTCGTCTACAACATGACATTGTACCGACTACTCGTCTACATTGTTTTCTCGTCACTCTGTCAACAGGCGAAGATGCACTTGCCATTGCCATATGTACTGAATGAGTGACGGGATGATTAGCCAACTGAATCTGAGTTGAGAGGGCAGTTGCTCTGGGAATCAGGAAGTTGCGTCTCATGTGCGTATCACACCCTCACTTACACCGTAGCGCTTTCCCTCTAACACCATTTGAAGCAAGAACTGAACAAGTGAACTTGTGCAGGTATGAGCGAGGAGCATTGAGCACAACCGGTCCGACTAAAATAACGGCCTATCCTTCCTAGAATAACGGTCTCTAACCTAATTCGGTTAAGCATAGTATTTCTCCTAGTTTTTCTACCATGTCTATCACCATACAAATCCACACTATACTAACATCCCAGTAAAACACTATACTAAAACTATACTTTTTAAACTTGATAATTTTTGAACTTTTTCATTTTACACTCCGCCTAAATCCTAACCTTCAATAACTACGTAATCGACCACGCGCTTTACAATAACGCCTAGCATTATCAGTACCGCTGACAATTTCTTTACGATTAACGATTTAAATAACAATAAGGTCGTTAATATTAACGGCCGCGAACAATCCTTAGCAATTAAAATAAAAGAGAGTAATAAGGACGAAGATTATTATAATATATTTGCAGGCGAGGATTCCTTTAATAATAACGATAGCCTAGCTACCCTACTAACCTTTTTCCCTGCTACTACCGCGACCGATAACGATAATATTCTTTAAAATTTATACGATAGGGAATAGGAATCCCTTAACGCGCTTCTCAAAAATACGAATAGCGCTGCCTTAAAAATAAGTTTTTATATTAGTAAATAGTATAGAAGCAATTATTGTAGGGGGGTCTTTTATCGAATTAATTTAATTTGTAGTAAGGGCGCTAAATTTCCAAATTAAAATAAAGGTATATGTTTAATGAAGTCCTAAAAGAAGGGGTGCAAATAGTAAGGTAAAGCAATTCTCTTTATTAAGGATAAGAGTAAAGAAAAGAAGGTAAAAATATAGAGGTTCGTTATTCAATACAATAAATACAACTACGATTTTAATATTAAGTGTACTATTTATTAACTTAGCTATCATCGTTTAGCCCATAATAATATTATTATTACTAATATATTAAAAGTAGTAAAGTAGCCAAAAATTACCTTATTAAATATCGTTACTACTGTTAGAAAGGAGTTCCCTAGTATATATATTAAACGTAAAAACGTAATTAATACAATCGCTTACTATAAGGCTATATTAATTAATACGCTTTTACCGACCTAATAATTTATTTAGTACCTTATAACTACGCCCGGTATTTATTATAAATTCTATTGATAAGGCTGTTAGCCGATTGGTAAGGTTCAACGTATTTTCTAAACTTACGACTAGTATTTTAAATAATAAGCGAAGAATTTAGAAGTCTAATCGATAGATTGTACCTACAAAATCAAGAGATTCGACATACCTCTATTGCAAATTTGCAATTTAATATTAATATATACTACTTTTAATATTGGCTACTACTTACTTAGCGGTAAAAAGGAGCAATCCTTTACTTAGGTATTTAATATTATAAAGGGGTTTCTTATATAATATAATATCCCCCAACTATATATTATTATAATAGACTACAATAAAGCCTTTAAGCGTATATATAGAGAGATTTTTAACGATAGTATTTAATATTAAATTTGCCTAAAGTATATTATAAAGAACGTTTTATATAATATAAAAAAGAAGTAGGATTATAATAGGCTAGGGTGCATATGCCTAGTGAGCCAAACCTAAAAGATAGGATGATGTTCTGCTTACTAGGCAGAATTCGGAATGTACATTATAAACTAATATTATTAGATCCTATAATACTACCTCCCCTTAAAGCGAAGTTGAGAAGCTTTAAAATAAGGCTCCGCTCCCACGGAGGCAGTTATGTTGCGGAGGATTTATCGCAATGCGACAGTTTATAGTACTACTTGAACTAATGGTTCTAATAGAAGATCTGTGATATTTTCAGTTATTCTATGATTAGTATCTATAGTCCTCGATCGCCGTCGTTCTATTCCAATTGTCATTTAGGAGACGATATCTCAACTAAGTCCGAAGGAGGAATGCGACGGGAGAAATTTCCAAAATCGCCCTCGAAAATATCCGCTGCGAGGAATTGAACCCCTGACTTCCCTACCGTTAAGTAGAATATACTATGACAGGCTAGGGTGCATATGCCTAGTGAGCCAAACCTAAAAGATAGGATGATGTTCTGCTTGCTAGGTAGAACTCGGAATGCACACTATAAACCAATGTCACTAGATCCTATAACAAGGATAGTTCATTAGAGGGTACGTTGTTAGGCAATAGAAATAACGATAGTAGCTACTTTCCTCGTAAGGGTGAGAACGAGAACGATATTTAAAATAATTCCGCTAATAGTAATAACGTTATTGGTATAGTTAGTATTAAATTGTTATTAGACGACTATTACGCCCAATATTTTAGCGGCGCCTATAATAATTAAGTTACTAATTTAATAAATAAGCGTGCTCTCTGAGGATTAAATCGCTAGTAGTTTAATAATGTAAATGGCTTCCTAGTAGCGTAGAAGGCGGTTGTATATACTAATATAGAAAATAATTTTAATAAAGAATAGAAAATTTTGAAGTAAGAGTTTGAGGATTAACCGGGTAAGTAAATACTTTCTAATACTTTCTAACACTCTCTAACTTTCTCTAATACTTTCTAACACTCTCTAATACTTAATAATTATATAATTAATAATAGATTTTATAGCGTTAATCGAATATTTAATTAACGTTTATATTCTTATATGCTATGAGTTTATTCATTTCTAGGTAAAGAGGTATAGAAATTTTAGTATACGAATTACCTTTCGTATAGAGGGCGTATATAGTTTATTTAAATGCTTATTTAAAAATCGCCTCCTTAATTTCAATATATTGCTACTAGCCATCAACAAAATCCTCGATCGCTTATAGTACAACTATAACTATTACTATTAAGAATAAACCTCTAAGAAGGTTAAGAGGTATAATTATAGAGTTATATAGTACCTTTTATAGTTCGTAGGGTTCGCTAGGTTTAATATAATCTAAAAGTAATTAAATATTATAATACATATAAAGAGGGAACATAAACCGTAGCAGGGTTTATATATTAGTAATTTTTGTCGTTAATTTAGATTGCTATACTAGTACTAATTAATATTTCTATTTTATAATAACAATTACTTTACGATGCTTTGTATTGATTAATATTAGTATTTTAAAAAAAAAGTACATTAATTAGTAATATTTTATATTATAGGATTTTCCATGCTAATTAATATTTAGCCTCCCTCTGCTGAATTCCTTACTTTATATTATAAAGAAGACCTAAACCTATCATAGGGCTAGAGCCTAGGGGTTAAGCTTGGCTGTTGCCAAGCTGTATCCTATAGCTTGCCGGCCTAATAAGCTAATAAATTATAATACAAGCCTTCTAATTGGCCAGACCCGTATAACTGCCTAGCCCGTACGGTCTTAGTATTAGTTATATAAAACCTTCTTTCTATTGTACCCTTCTAGTATAATCTTTCCTCTCTTTCTTTCCTTATTAAAT